CTGGGATGTAGGCACCATTCAAGCTGTGAAGCGTAAAATGCGCAACTAAGCATTAGCAATTATGGCATTATTATGTTGAGGCGTTTGTTAAGAGATAATAGATTATAAATGCCATATCACGGAGCCCTGGCTATACAGTATAACAATTTCGTTTAACCCATTTTCTATGGTGTAATGAATCCTTCATTCCTAATCTCCCTATCGCGTGTGAAAGTAATAGCGCAACTTTTTGCTAGAACTCCCAGTGGTCGCTCTGACATAACAGTTACATTAAGTAATACAGTCAATGTGCCGAGTATAATCGTTTTTCTTACTAGTGAGAATAAAATTAGTGAATAGTATTAGATCACACATCTGTACGTACTTTTTGTATACAATCCTTAGAGTATATTCATGGAAAGATGAGGTACATTACCTTTTAATGGTTGTATCTAACCGCTAAGAAAATGCCCTGTTATCAGGTGTATAGTGGTACCCGATGAGGTGTTGGTTGTGGCAAGAGACCAACACATACGTGTACTACAGCGGCACGCCACCTGAGTGAGGAGCTAGCCTTCGAGTGGGATAGTTCCAGGGACGCCGCGACGGTCTGGATACATGTACATGAGGCTACTGCACCGACATAAAGCCGGATCGATCACACGTCACATCTAGACTGTCGTGTTTTTCACCTTCCGATAAAGTCAGAAACAATTTGATACTAAGTGTCACGGCAGCATTCGATAAATTGTTAGAGCCAGACGGTCGGTGTCTATACACATACATTTAGTTTTGGAGCACTTTAAACAATACGAGAGAGATAAATATTCAGGTTTTTATATAGTGAATTCGTAGCAGTAGTGTTTAGCTGCTCCTCAAAGCGATTGCAGAGGCTGGAGACGTTGCCTGAATAATGGCAAGGCGGTGCTGGACCAACAGAGCGGGGTAACGATTAGTTGGAGCCTCACCTTAGTGGCCCGCTAAGAGAATTCTCAACTGAAAAGGCTTGACTACAAGATTTACAGGTCGGAAAAGTGTTCATCGCAAGGTCTCTTAATTAGTTGCCAGTCAGTAAGTGTGTGTACCAATCCAATTTTTACACTGTAGACAAAACGAAAATCGTCCGTCGAGCGCCGAATGTTTCGAGTCCAGCATCGACGGAGATAAAGCGATGCGTCCAATACAGATTCCATAGTATATCTTCTTTAAATGGAATATCTGTACTGTTTCGTTGTGCATGCTAATTCCCGAAACCATAGGCCTCCGAATTTACTTTCCGGGCTGGACATGAACCAGGTCTAGACATTTTGCTTTTACTAAGGCTGTTTTGTGTTTTCACTTACATTGAGAATTTATTAGGTATATGGCCCATACTTACACGACATCTATGCTTGATGTACGAATCCACCCACAGTGTCAACCAAGATCTTTTCTAGCAGAATATACTCTAATTAGCTTGGAGCTGCGGGTTCGCTCCGTCAAAGCTTCAACACGCAGTTTTGGTGCGAGTTTGTATTGGGTAACCATAAAACCTCCAAGTGTAGGTTTAATTTTACAAATTTGACCACACTGAGACCAAAGCACGAAACAACCTTAATTTTTAGGGCCAAACACAAGTATATCAATATAGGTCAATTGCCAATTGAGGTACCCCACCTTATAGAACATTATTGAAAAAATGTCTCTCTCTCTCTCTCTCTCTCGATGATACTGGTCACGCACGGCCTCAAACTCTCTCTCTCTCTCTCTCTCTCGATGATACTGGTCACGCACGGCCTCAAGTTCCCGTGGACTTATCGTGACTGGCCTAGGTACCGTTATGAAGCGCGCGAAGCCCACGATCGTCTTTGCTGGGCTTCGAGATGATGTAGGCCCGTCCCGTCGTTGGTGCCTTCGATGCGAACGATCGTGGCGTCGCCCCAGTAAGCTTTGTATCTTATGCTACATCCGGATGTGATGAAGACTTTAGGATTTACGTTCGACGCTGGCTTTCTGCCCAAGGTCATCAGTGTGGAAGAGTGGACCTGGTACAGGATACACTGAAGTAGTATAGGGAGTGGAAGGCAGTATTTCGACGAGAAAAGTTTGCTTGAAACGCTTATCAACGGGCACTATGTAGACTACACATTGCTGTTAGTTGTCCCGTTGACGAATTTTGTGGAGTTCGACAACACAAAGGTGAATTTGAGGGTGTGCCTAAGCATTTTTACTTAGGTTATATCGATTTTGCAGGGGGTTTTTATATACACTGTCAAATGCCGTTGTTGTATTTGCTCCTAACCAATAGCGTGGTGGTTTCGAATGCCGAGGTGCGGGTGGCGCTATCCAGAGTATTCAGTAAATTAGTACGATAACAACTGTGGAGAAGGATTGATGTTGCAGACTGTGGTGAGCAATTGCGGGAACACACATAACGATTTCGAGCTCATGATGGCCGGTGGCTGGCTGTACTCCGCGTGGACGGTAAGGTACAAGTTGGACATGCATCACGACGGCATTATCACGTGCACAAGCAGGAATACAGCTGACAACTATATCATCTGCCCCCCCCCCCACACACACACACACAAACACACACACACTCTTCCGACTGAAGTGGCAAGTACTGAGAGTTGGTGAAGTGCCACTTGACTATTAAGGTTTTCGCGGTTTCAGCTGAATACTCGCAATTCCGCATAGGAGACCAACTATTTCGTCCCATTGTGCAATTTGAAGATGTTTCGTTCTCTTGCTAGCATGATATCAGGTTCGTACTCTCATATTGTCTACGTTGATGTAGCAAATATATTGATGATGTCAAACCGCCTTAGCCTGGACGCAGCACAGATTTACTCACCGCTGGAGATGCTTCATCCGCAGGAGCATTAGGAAAAGAATCAAACATAACGTGATTTTCTCCATTGTGACGAAGACGAGCTTTTGTACGCGTCCTGCCGTCATACGGTTTTTTTCGTTTGGAGTGAATAAAGCCGTGGATAGACCACGAACGTTCACTTGCGGCAGATGACGTGGGGATACAAACAATTGCATCGCTAGTGGCCACATGATTTGGTTTGTCGCGTTGGCCACCAATTGAGCGGCGTGCATGACTGATATCTCTGCTTCTTGTCCTCTCTCCAAGCCAATTTGTCGGTCACAAATTGCGTTATCTCATCCGAAACCTTTTGTTTT